TTTAAAGATTCTTTTAGGCAATTTCAGTGGTTTGGGAGAACATTCAGTGCGGAAATCTTTGTATTCTCTAAAACTGGGAGGCCTTTTTATAAACTCGCACAATGAAATACATTTAGCACTAGAAGGGATCCCCAAATCATCTATTATAGGCCTATTGTTTTATCAGATAAAATTTCCATGATACAATTTTTTTGTAAATATGTATATTTTGGATAAAGTAATATAAGCATTTAGTTCAAATTTCAAAAGGTACAAAACACTGGACAATGAAAAATAAATGTCTCCCACTCCCAGTCACCCAGTTAGCATCTTTGGAGGGAACCACTGTCACCAGAGATAGTCTATGCATGCTATGATATCCTTTCAGCAAGAGCTTCAGACCTAGCAAGACCAAAGAGGTCATAAATGAGTTGTATTTGGAATTAACATAAAGTAATAGTAGACCCTTTAACTTCAGTCTCAACTCTCATTACGTACTAACTTGAGCAAGTTAACTAATCTCTCTTCCTCAATTTCCTCATCTGTATGATAGAACTAATGATACCCACCAGTCAGGACTGTCAAGATTATGTGAGGTAATGTACCAAAGTCCCAGATACGTATCTTAATTTTGACTATGGGAAAATGTAATCTTTTTTTTTTAATCTATCTGCATTCTAAATGTAGAGGACCACAGTTTCATTAAGGTAGGAATGAGGATAACTATACAAAATATATAATAAGGAAAAACGTGGTATGATGTCTGTTTGCATAGCACTATCAGTTTATTTTTCCCAGCCTTGATGAAGTGGATTGGCTTCTTCCTTAATCACTTTCATTTCATTAATAGTTGTCTTTAATCTTCTCCAAGAGCACATCACACAACCTGAAAGTCAGAGGCCTCCCTGAAATCCACTACTTTCAAAGATTGTATGCTGATCATATTACTGAGAGCGTTCAAGAGGAGGGAACTTATCATTTAATAAATTTCGATGATGCAACTAATGTGTGCTAGATATTCTGCTAGGTGGTACAGAACCAAGCAAAACACAGTGGAGAAGATGGTACTAACAACTGTTCTACTTAGGGAGCCAGGAAATTGAAGGGATTGCTTTGTCTCCTAAGACCTAGAAAATCATTAGTCTCACTCAAATTTAAGAGTTCATTTGTAAGAAAATCCAATCAAACAATTTAAACAGCTAAGGGAATGTACTGGCCGATGTGACTGACGAACCAAACACTGGGCAGATTTTAAGAAAACCAGTAGTCCCATAATGTCAGTCAAGACCTACTTTCTTTCCACTGCTGCACTGCCTTCTGTGATGCGGTTTTCATCTTAGGCTGAATGGTAGTCAGAAGCAACCAGAGTTACACTCTTCCTAGTTCATATCTACAAAAGCAGAGAGTACCTTTGAAGCAACTCCCATGGATCAGACAGGAATTTTCTTTTCCAAAAACTGCAGCAATTGGCCGGCATTGGTGACTCGGGCCTTTTACTCTAGCACTTTGGGAGGCTGAAGTGGGCAGAACACTTGAGCTCTGGAGTTAGAGACCAGCCTGGGCAACATAGGGAGACCCCGTATCTACAAAACATCAAAAAAATTAGCCAGGTGTGGTGGCCCCCTCCTGTGGTCCCAACTACTTGGGAGGCTGAGGTGGGAGGATCACTTGAGCCCAGGAGGTTGAGAGTGCAGTAAGCCATGATCCTGCCATTGTCCGTCAGCCTGGGTGACAGAGCAAAACCCAGTCTCAAACAAAAAGCAAAACAAAACTCCAGCAACTGTCTCCTTTATTGTCCATTAATGGTTCACATGCCTACTCTGAATCAGTCACATGGACAGAATGATGTGATAATGCTGATTAGTGTAAGACAAACAGGTTCTCTGGAGGTGGGCAATCCAACCCAAGCCATGCTCAAAAACATACTGTTTGTTTAAAGTAGAAAAGGCTCTGGATTGTGAGAAGGGATTTTACAAATGTCAGTGTGAGCTCTTGCTACTGCTTCTCTCTGCATGTCTATTCTAGGTTGCTTTTGTAGGCTGGCTCCATGTGTAAGGATTTTACTTTGGGTTCCCTCATAATTTGATGTCCATGTAGCTGAAGCTTGCCATAGAGCTCTCACACTAAATACCCATGACCCTGCAACTCCAATTCTCATCACTTACCTATGACTTTTGTGTCTCAGTGAAATTTTTTCAAACAATATCATCTAGTTGGCCTGGCCTAACCTATGGATTGGCTCTCAGAGTAGGTCTCCCCACACTGGCCCAATCATCATAACCAGGGGAGTAAGGTCATATGATATAAACATAGATGACTAGGCCCATCTGTTCAGCAGAGGAACAGATCCTTTTAGAAGAGAATGTGGGCAGAGAGGCAATTATATACATCTCTCACCAGAAAAATCCCAGGGGTGGAAATGATGGGAAGAAATAGCACCAAATTTAAAGAAAAGAGAAAAGCTGCCACTGTAATTCAAAATTAGACAATGTAACTGATCATAGATTTTTGCTATAATCGCTATTTTGGCCTTATAATCTCTGAAATTTACTTTACAGAACACTGAAACACTTCTTTGAGGATAAACATTACAGAAGAAAACAATCTTTGATCTAGAAACCTAAAAAGATATTTATGCTCATTATATCCCAGGTGCTGAAAAGTGTCAAAGCACAGCTAAATATTATGCCATTTTTGCAGACTCGGAATGAGTTTAAACACTGAAAGAGCTACCAGAATACCCCAGCAGAACATCTCAAAACAAAGCTTTCTTTCACTCTTAAGAAAATTACCAGGCCAGCACGGTGGCTCACGCCTGTAATCCCAGCACTTTGGGAGGCCGAGGTGGGCGGATCTACCTGAGGTGAGGAGTTCAAGACCAGGCTGCCCAACATGGTGAAACTCCGTCTCTACTAAAACTAAAAAAATTAGCCGGGTGTGGTGGCGGGTGCCCAGCTACTCAGGAGACTGAAGCAGGGAGAATCGCTTGAACCCAGGAAGAGGTGGAGGTTGCAGTGAGCCGAGATTGCACCACTGCACTCCAGCCTGGGTGACAGAGCGAGACTCCATCTCAAAAAAAAAAAAAAAAAAAAAAAAAGGAAAATTACCTATTTGCACTTCTCGATTTCCAGGAAGGTGTTAGAGATCTTCATCCCATCCCCAGCCCAAATCTAGATGTGTTCACTGCAAAGGGAGAAGTTTTTGAGTTCTCAGCAGTAGCTGTGGCTCCAAGGAAAGCAGTGTTATATCAGTATTAGAGTACACAACCAAAGCTCTGCTGGAGCAAAAGAGGAACACAGAAAGCTAGGAATAACAAATGTTTTTCTTCACTCTCATATGATTCATTCAGGCTTTCTTTGACCTACATAGCCATCTGACTGGCTACTGTTTTCTTTTCTTTCTTTTCTTTTTTTAGAGATGGGGTCTTGCTGTGTTGCCCAGGCTGGACTGAAACTCCTGGGCTCCGGTGATGCTCTCTCATGAGCTTCCCGAGCAGCTGGGACCACAGGCATACACCACTGCCCTGAACTTGATTAGGAATATTTTAAAATGTAAAATAATAGTGAAAGGATTCCCTAGTCCCCACAAACCTGGGAATGGATCGAGCTGAGGACACCAAAACTTTTTCCTGAGACATGGAAGTTGCACTGAAAGTTTTCTTGATGGTTCTAATGCATTAAGAATTAAGACTCTTGGCCGGGTGCAGTGGCTCACGCCTGTAATCCCAGCGCTTTGGGAGGCCGAGGTGGGCGGATCACGAGGTCAGGAGATCGAGATCATCCTGGCTAACAAGGTGAAACCCCTTCTCTACTGAAAATACAAAAAAAATTAGCTGGGCATGGTGGCAGGCGCCTGTAGTCCCAGCTACTCGGGAGGCCGAAGCAGGAGAATGGCGTGAACCTGGGAGGCGGAGCTTGCAGTGAGCCGAGATTGCACCACTGCACTCCAGCCTGGGCAACAGAAAGAGATTCCATCTCAAAAAAAAAAAAAAAAAAAAAAAAATTAAGACTCTTTGCCTAGATTACTCCCAAAATATTAAAAATAACCAAATAAAGTGGAACTAAGGAAAAATATAAGACACATAGAGAAAATACTTTTCAAAAAATGTTATTTGACCTATGGCTCATTCTGATTTTAAAAGCAGTTAAACAAACGAAACACATCCTAGCGACGCTTATGACTGAAGAAACCATTGATACTTAAAAGAAGAGAAGACTTTAGACATAAAGGCAGAGTGGAATTTTTAAAATCAACATTTCATGCAGCAGCTCCACATGGCCTTCCCATGTCTCAATAGCTTTGATTTGTGGAAATAATGGTTATGCAATTTCCTCACATTGTGCTCCAATCACAGCATGTAAGCAACAATAAAAAGAAAACAACTAAATGTACTTGAAGCTGGAGATTTTGATAAGGTTTTCTTTTCACTTCACAAAGTTTGTTAACTGGATATTTTTCTAAGGCAACTGAAATATTCCTGCTGAGTTTCAGACAGATATACCTAAAGGCAGCAAAGTGTCTGATTTTCTTAAATGTATCTATGGCAGCAACACTAGTTAATTTAGTCATGGAAAATTAACCAAAAAGAAACTATCAGACTATAAGAATTCCACAGTTGGCAGATTGTTGGTCTCTCTCTCTCTCTCTCTCTGTCTCTCTCTCTCTCTCTCTCTCTCTCTATATATATATATATATATATATATGCCATCTGTTTACAGAAGATGAGAAATGTTGGAGAAAACTATTTCCCTTAGGGTATAATGTTATGGCCATTCAGAGAGAGGTCTCTGGTATTTTCAAGGAGGATTTGGTACAAGAACAAGACAGCATCAGGTCTGCACAGTCATTGGCTGAGAAAAACAAAGATGATTTCCTCTAGTCCATTTTAGTTTTACTCTTTGAACTTCCAAGTGTATTTATTGTTTTTATTTTTAATGTGGCACGGATTGTTTTAAGAATCAACTTGGTTCCCTTTTTTGAAGTCCTTTTTTTTTTTTTTTTTTTTTTTTTTTTTTAGTTTGTTGAGACTGGTTTCTAAAGTGCTCCACCTCCAGTCATTAGATGGGGGGCTACAGCTTGGAGAACACACAGTTCTGAGTTCAACTGCGGACGGGATAATGAAGGGCAGCTGCAGAAGGAGGTAGAGCTGCAGATTTGGAGGTAGGTGGCAATACAGTATTTCAAAATAAAAACTACCAAGCTTCAGATCGGTGATAAATTGTCATGCACTAAGTGTACCTGCAGAAATAAAACTAATCTCTATCCATTTTAATTCTCTCAGAAGGACTTTCCCTCTTACACATAAAATCCTGGGAATTTCCCCCTCCTCATCCAGTCATCTCTAGGTGATTAATCATACATTGGTCACTCGTCACTAGATGGCATTGTGCAATGTTTCTTGACAGCAGTAACTAAATTGGTAAAGTTACAGCTTGGGCTATTTTTTTGGTATTTTCTTCTTTGGGATGGATCTAGAGAATCTAAATCTGATCCTGGATATGTCATCATCTTTATATGTTTTATGAGTTTGGCTTTGTAAAATTTGTGTCTTCTTTGACAGTCTTTTTCTTAGTATAACTTCCTAGTATACAAACCCAATAATTATTAGTCTTAAATGGACAATAAATAAATTCTTCCTCTAATTTTTCTCCAAGTCACATGTACAAAAGTTTACTTACATTTGCAGAAATAAAATAAAGCTCAACATATCTAGGATCTCTACCTAGACATGAAAGTAGAAAAAAATATATATGGAAATATGCTTTATCTAAGCATGGCCAGTTGAAATCTAGATGTGGATAAGCCATGAAGATAGAGTAATATAAAAAGATCAGTTAATGCTTTCCTAAAACTGTGAAATTCACAAAGGAAATATAATAGCCATAAGTAAGTAAAACTGATATAAATATGACATGAATTAGTGGTCACAGTCTTGTACTCTTCCGGACATGACAAATAATTGTGACCATTTTTATTTGTTGTGTTCCCATAAACCTTATGGTACTGAAGAATAAATTCTAAACTTCTGTGCTATCAATAAAATAGGACACATTTTCCCAAGTTATAATTATGACTTACTGACCTGAGAATTTGTACACTTGATCTTAGCCAAAAGGCCGAGAAGCGATGAGAATTTGTAAATAATAATGGATGATAAAATGAATTATTTGGAGTGAAGCTAGCAAGATAAATTACAGATAGATAGATAGATAGATAGACAGACAGATAGATATGGTAGATAAATGCATAGCAGATAATACAGCATTTGACATTCCGAAGTTATATAAAAACTATAATATTGCTCTGCTCTTTTCGTTTACTTATTTTAAAATCTGAAAAATTGTTTCTCTGTTTTAATTTGTTTTTTAATTTTTATTTCATTCATTTATCCATTCAAAACCATTAACCAAACACCAGCTTTGGATCTGTTCCATACCAGAGATGCAAAGATAAGTAGGATACCAAATTTGTTCTCAAAAAGCTTTTAGTCTTTTATGTTTAGCATCCATAAAGTAAATATCAGAATCATTCATGAAAGAAGGAGCAAGGGGGAAGGAAAGAGGGAGAGATATAATGCAAAGAGTCTTAGACAAGGAAACAAGATGCAGGCCGGGTGTGGTGGCTCACACCTGCAATCCCAGCACTTTAGGAGGCCAAGGCAGGAGGATTGCTTGAACCCAGGAGTTTGAAACCAGCGTGGGCAACATAGCGAGACCCTGTCTCAAAAAAAGAACAAAGAAAAAAAGATGCATGGTTTATGGTCACAGCTCTGCCAGTAACTCATGCTTTAACCCTGGACCTCCCTCATTGTATGTTCAAATGAATAATTTTATAGAAAAGTGCTTTGTAAACTGTAAAATGTTTTTAAAATATTAGTTTTTAAAGCTTTTTCCTATAACAAACCCAGTTTGTTTGTTTGTTTGTTTGTTTGTTTTAATAGAACTTTGATCCTTCAGGCCAGTGCATCTCCCTTTTAGTTTTCTATTTCAAAATTCCAGCTGCATACATAAAGCCCATTAAATTTCCAACTCATCTTGTAAAACAAAAATTGGACAGAAGCACCACAATCTTCTAAAGAGAAAAGGCAAAAGGCTAACCTAAATGTCCAGTGATCACATCAAACTCTAAAACGTTGAGATGCTCTGATTATCCCCTTTCCCCCTTCTACTCTGCTGATTCTTGCTTCTTCTCTTAGTTTCTGTAGGTGCAAAATGTAATTTCAAGTAAATCTGTTACAATAAAACATGAAAGATGAAAGACCTCCATTCTGGTCCTAGGCCATTACCTCTTCCACACTTTAATGGTAGGAAAAAACCAAAAAGGGTTTGAATAGATTGCTAGATTAGGAGATTCAGTACAATATCATCTATTCTTAGACTAGCTTAATAGTTCTGCAAAATGCCTATTTTTCATTAAAGCCAGTCATACCATAATCTACAATAGATAAGTCAGAAAATGTTTTGTTTTCCACAGATTGTATACAGAAATCATTATGTAAGGAATAAGAAACCCAAATGTATTTAAGACCACAAAGAAAGATACATAGGTGGAGGAGAGCATTAGGGAAAACAGCTAATGCATGCTGGCCTTAATACCTAGGTGTTGGGTTGGTAGGTACAGCAAACCACCATGGCACATGTTTACCTATGTAACAAACCTGCACATCCTGCGTGGGTTCCTTGGAACTTAAAAAAAAATAAATTAAATTTAAATTTAAATTTAAAAATTATATATTTAAAAAAAAGAAAGATACAAAAAAAGGTGTCTTTAGTCAAGTACTTGACTGGATCTAGGTGTGTGTAGAGAACTGTTTTATCTTAATTTCCTGGTCCATTATGTCTTTTCCTGGTCCATTATGTCTTTTACTTTGTTACTGCATTAAGCTGTTTGTAGTATGATGACAGCTTACTAATAAAAAAATGATTTCTAGCGGCCTTTCTAGCGGCCTGGCACGGTGGCTCACGCCTGTAATCCCAGCACTTTGGGAGGCCAAGGCGGGCGGATCACGAGGTCCGGAGATGGAGACCATCCTGGCTAACATGGTGAAATCCCATCTCTACTAAAAATACAAAAAATTAGCTGGGCGTGGTGGCGGGCGCCTGCAGTCCCAGCCACTCTGGAGGCTGAGGCAGGAGAATGGTGTGAACCTGGGAGGTGGAGCTTGCAGTGAGCCGAGATGGCGCCACTGCACTCCAGCCTGGGCGACAGAGCAAGACTCCGTTTCAAAGAAAAAACAAAAGTGATTTCTATATTTTTAGGTTTTCAAAAATTTTTAAATTCAATTAGGTTTTTTCACCCTGCCCATCCCTCAAAATTAACTTCTAATTAAGCATTTTGGCTGAAAATGTTCCCTCAATACATTAGAATAACCCGGTTATTCCTGGGCTCAAGCTCCTGGGCTCAAGCAATTCTCCCACCTCAGCCTCCTGAGTAGCTTGGACAACAGGCATGTGCCATCACATGTGTCTAATTTTTATTTTTATTTTTTTTTGTAGAATGGAGGTCTCACTATGTTGCCCAGGTTGGTCTCAAACTCCTGGGCTCAAGGGATCCTCCTGCCTTGGCCTCCCAGAAGTGCTGGGATTACAGGCCTGAGGCCTTGGGCCCAGCCTGAATGATTCGTTTCATCCTAGAGTATTTGTTTACCTTCAGACATGGGCTATGAGAAAATCTAGAGGGTTAGAAATAAATGTTTAAAGACCAAGATACTTATTTAATATATTATTTCTTTCCTGACTTTCCCTTCATTTTTCAGGTTTATGACATTTTTGTCTTTATTTAAAATATTAATTCAAGCCAACAAGTATTATAAAAATGACATATTAGTTTTTGTGCACAAAGAACAGAGGAAATGGAATTTTACTTTGCCAGTTTCAGAGACCATAGCACTCAAGCTTCTCATCATCAGTATATTTGGATGAAAAGATAGTCTTTGTCATGAAAGTATATGCACCCACATTTAGCCATGGACAAAACTTTCCTGGAAGGAAGCAGAGATTTTTTTTTTGTTATTATTTTGGGAAAGTGTACTGAGGCATATCTCTAAAAATAAAATAGCACTTCATCAGTACTGGTCATTTTTTAGCCACGTATGACAAATGATCACATATGCTCATAAAAATCTAAAAGGAACTGAATGTTGTTCTCTTCTGAAATGGCTAAGTATCTCTCCTTTAAACTGTATTTTAAAACAAAAACAAATTTTACCACTTTGATTGAAGAAAATGCAGGAAGCCATATGGTCCCACCCAAAGTTCCTGCATGCAAAATATCATGGGGAGGAAGGTTCAAGGTGTTTTTAAGAACATAACTTTTATGTTTCTGCCCTTTAACAATGGTACTTCCTGTTTTGTCCTCTAACTGTAATGAGGCTATCAAGAAAGATTATGGCCGGGCGCGGTGGCTCACGCCTGTAATCCCAGCACTTTGGGAGGCCGAGGCGGGCGGATCACAAGGTCAGGAGATCGAGACCACGGTGAAACCCCGTCTCTACTAAAAATACAAAAAATTAGCCGGGCGCGGTTGTGGGCGCCTGTATTCCCAGCTACTCGGGAGGCTGAGGCAGGAGAATGGCGTGAACCCGGGAGGCGGAGCTTGCAGTGAGCCGAGATCGCGCCACTGCACTCCAGCCTGGGCGACAGAGCGAGACTCCGTCTCAAAACAAAAAAAAAAAAAAAAAAAAGATTATGAACTTCTCCTTTTTGCATAGTGAATAGCATGTGTATACCATCTTACCACGTGTGTAGAATTCAAACTAAGTATTGCCATTACTCAATTCTCCTGAGGTCCAACAAGTTGATCTATGGTCTCCCAACAAGGGTTGGAATATTCAGTAATTTATAGTTACCTAGTCATAAATCTGGTATTGAAGTCAACAGAATGTGCAGTATTCCTTGTCTCAAATACACATGAAGCTACATGTTGCAACTAAATGGCCCCCGTGTTTTACTAGAAGTTATTAACAACCCTTAACAGATTAGGATTCAGTGATTGCCTCCTTCAAAGGCAATTCTTTTTTCTTCTTTTTCCTTTCAAAAAAGAGAAAAAGAAAGGAAGAAAATAGGAAAAGAGGATAAAAGGAAGGAAAGAAGGAAGAAAGAAAGGAAGTGTGGAAGAGGGAGGAAAAATGAAGGAAGGAAAGAAAAGTAGAGTAGAATGGG